AATTTCTTTTGTGCTGACATCTTTCTTGTTATGAGATTAGATCTTTTTAAGTCTTCTTCTAATTATTATTTCAGTATTTTCAAACTTTTTTGGTTCTTTTTATTGTGGTAATAATTTTATTCTATTATTTATTTCTGTTTCTTATTTTGTTTCTTTGTACACCGTCTTATTTTTGTTTAATGTTTATTTCTATTATAACTTCTCTGTGTCCACTTCCTTGTTTGGCTCTTGGCTTCTCGCGATGTTTCCAAATCTCACCTTCTCCCGCCTCTTCTCGTTTCTTTCTGTCTCTCTCGCGATGTTTCCTCGCTCGTCTCCTCCTTTCCTCTCTCCTCCTCAGTTCTCTCCTGCCTCCGTGCGGGGCGGGCGCTTGCAAGCGCGCGCTTCACCGCGCGGTCCGCCCTGCCTCGGCGTGGCAGAGCCGGTGTTGGGCGGTGGGCTGGCGTATCCCCCCGTGGGCCCTGAGGACTGCGAGAGGTAGGAGTACAGGGAAGTTGTCAGTGGAAAGCTCTGCTGGGGCAAGGGAGCTTGGGCTGTGAAGCGTAGTTTCCTTCTTTTCGCCGGGAAGCCTCGGCTTGACTATTTTCAGACTTCCGGTAGTGGCAAGATGGCGGACGGAGCAAACCTGCAACGCTCGTCGTAGGTTTGCCCCCTCGAAAAACCTTTGGGAGTGCTGCTCCCCCCTGCCCCGTGGAACAAACAGGACAGTAAGACCTCCAGGCTTGCACCCCTGGGGGGTGCCACCCCCAAGAAGTCTGGAAGGCGGAGGTTAAGAGTGGGAGGACTGGTCGAGGCGAAACAGAGCCGAGGTCAGACCAGAACACCGGCCACTATTTTAACTTCACAGCACTGAAAAACGAGTTACAAGAAGGTCTGTGCAAAGAAGAGGAGAAGAAGAGAAAGAGAAAGAGAAAAGGGGGAAAGAAAGAACAGACACAATTGAATACAACCGAAGAAAACAACAATATAATAATTCGACAATGACAAGAAGAGGTAGAAATCAAGAGACCAAGTCCTGTCAGAACCCAAACTAAAGCAACACAGTAAGAATAAACGGAAGAAGTGGAAAGAAGGAAAGAAGGAAGAAGAAAGTTAACTAAAATTCACGAAGGAGGGGGAAGACAGGGAGAGCAAGAGAGCAAGAGGTAAAGACCCCGAAAACGCGGAAGACTCAGGGAAGGATAAAGGGGACATAAAGGGGAGATAAAGGGGCAAGAGGAGCAGAAAAGGAGACGACTGAGGCCAATTCCCACCCCCCAAATCCCCCCCCCTTGGATTCCCCGCCATTGAGACCTGAAAATAAATAAATAATTTGCATTTTGAAAATGCTGTTGTTTCTCAAATTTTAATTTTTTGGCTAGTTGTTCCATTTTTAAACAGTTCATCTGTTTCTGTAGTAATTCTAATTCTTGATTTATTTTCATGTCCTTGGGGTTTCTTTGGAATTTTTCTTCTGCTTCAGCTATTGCTTGCTATATCTTCTGAAATTCTTCATTATATTTTTTGTTTCTTATTGAATTTTGTTGAATTACTGCATTACTGCCTTATTGGCATCCCATATGGTTAATATGGAAGCTTTTGGAATGCTATTAACTGTAAAAAAAATTCTTTTAGTATTTCCCTATTCTTTTTGATGGTTTTCTCTGATTTAAGTAAATTATAATTGAGTCTCCATTTATGTCGTTTTTGGATCTGGTTTATTATTGTTTCTATTAGGCAATGATTCAAGTGCCACCTTGGTAGGACTTTTATTTTTCTAAATTTTGTTGACAATGCATTTGAGGTCCATACCATATCAATTCTGGACCACCCTTGATGTCTGTTTGAGTAAAAAGTGAAATCTTTCTTTTTGGGGTCGTGTATTCTCCAAATATCTTGTAAATTGAATTCATATAGTAGATTCAAGAAGGAACTTGGCAGTCTTCCCATATTTTTTCTTTTGTTCTTTACTTTTGTCCAAAAAAGTTTCCATCACACCATTAAATTCTCCCAGAATAATTAATTCATCAAATTTTCTTCTAGAATTTTTTTTTTCACAAAAGCTGTTTGGGGCCCATTTGGGGCATAAACATTGCAAATCAAGACTTTTTGATTGTTCAATTTTATGAAGATGACAATTATTCTGCCTTCTTGATCTTTGAAGGCAAGTTCTGCTGGTATTTTACAATTTCTCTATAATACAGCCCTTCTGTTTTTCTCCAAGGCTGACACATAATATTCTTTTCCAAGATTCTTTTGAGACAAGTGAGCTTTATGTTTTGGGAGATGTGAGTTACTTGAAGAGCCACAATGTTGTAGTTAACTTTTTTAATATGTCTAAAAAAGATCTTCTTTTATCTGGTCAATTGAGTCTGTTAACGTTGTTCGCATAACATCTAATTCCCATTTAATTCTTCTGCTTGTTCTTCATCCACAATATCCAAATTCGTTTGAGCCAATCCAGAAGGTGAGTCTGTCTTGTCTGGGGATTTGGTCTGTGGCTTTTTCTTATCTTTGTATTCTCTTTGTTCCCGTGGTTTGGGTCTTTCCATGTTCTTTTTCAGCTTTTTGTAAAATTCTTTAGTTTTGTTTTTCATTGTAAGCCATATTTTTCCTCTTTGTAAGTCACCATTACTCTTTCCGATCTTTCCCACCTTTTCAATTTTCAATTTGTCCATTAGGAACATATACTTCCTTCTTTTTGTAAGGACTGAAGCAGGGAATTCTTTTAGTATGGCTCTTCTTTCCCCTTGTAATGTTTTTGCTGTTACATTTTAGAACTTCATCTCTTATTCTTTTTCTTTCAAAGTGTGCAATCACATCTCTTGCGACCTTGTTTCTTCTAGCATAATTTGTTGAACTCTGATAGACCCTATCAATATTTTGATCTATATCTTCTTCAGTATTTTCTATTAGATCTGCCACCATTTTTTTTACAATTCGTTGACTATCTTCTTTGCTGTCTTTTTGTATATTTTGGAATCTTAACAGGAACTCCATCTCTTTTTGCTCCAGTCATTCTTGTTTAATTTCTAGTTTTGTATTTTTGATTCTAAGTTCTCCACTTTAGATTGTAATTTATCTTGTACTTTTCCCAATTTTTATTTATCTTGTTTTATATCCTTAATTTGCTGTTGAATAATATTCATATCTTTATTACCATATTTAATTCATTAGTAATCACTCTTTTAATTTAATTTTTCTGTAATCTCAATTCTCAACATTTGTTCTTGCCATAATTTTTGATAAGCATCTTGTTTCTCAGAAAATTTTTGAATTTCCTTTATCATTGATGTCTTCTGGAATTACTGATCTTCCAGGGATAGTTTTTTCTCTCTTCAAATTTAAATTTAGGGGTCACCATTTCCTTGGGGGTATATAGTCTTCTTTATAATCGTCTTGTCAATTTAAATTTAATAAAATATGTTATAGATTAATATCCAATTAACAGGTAGTAAATTAATAAGTTAATATTTTAATTAACATACCAATTAATATGCCAAAATTTTAATGTGCTGCTAATTTCTTCTCTGGCACAATGCTCTGTATTTTATTACATTGAATCCCCCTCTTTATTTATAGTTTAATTCATTTAATATTTTATCCTATTAATTATATTATTTTTATTGTCCCTCTTTCTTATATATCAATTAATTCAATATTTTATACAATTACCTTCATTTATAGTTCTATAGTTTTCTGTTTCCCTCCACTTTATGGTATTGTTAAATCCTCTACTTCTGGATTAGTCTCCTGTTAATATATTGCCAGGTTTCTTTTCTTACTCTTCTCCACCAGGCCGTTTCTCTGTTAACTATCCTCCTCCAAATCCTGATCTCAGTACCTCCTTGCCTTTGTCCTTCTCTTTCTCCTTCTCCATCACCACTGTTTCTGCTTTTGTCTGCTTGGGCTCCTTACTTTGGGGTTCCCTTATCAGTCAAGTCCACTCTATTGCCCTTCTTCTTTACTTCCTGGACAATTTTAATGCTATCTATAACTAGCTCAATTTTCCTCTGCAATCCCTCTCAAAAATGGTGACACAAAGTGCTTCCATTTTGAAAGGGGCTGCAAAGGAAAATATCTAGCCTTGCTTGAAGGGAACTGGCACCTGCCCCTTGCATAATTCCTTATCCCTGGTATGGAACAAGTGTCAGCAAATTGCAGCCCTATTCTAGATCTTCTTCAACTTTTTACATTTGCAATCACTTTCCACCTGTGAAATTTTTATGTGACTCTAAAATATTGGTATAAAAACATGTATAGAAATAAGACATTTACTGATAATAAACCAGGATTTCTAAGGCTTACTAAACATGCTGATTTCCTTTTTGTGGAGTACAACTGAGGCATTTTCTGTAAAGTCCACTATAAACATTGCATGCCATTGCTAACAGACTCATGAAAATGTTAGAAACCTTTTACATTGAGTTAAGACGATGCCATTTAGGGTCAGATTAGAGATGGGAAAGTCTGGGGGGGAAAAACCTTGAAAAATTGGGGGAAAAACAGTTTTTCCCCCAAAGCATTTCCCCAGAAAACTTGGGAAAAAAAGCCGTGGACCCCAGGAGGCTTCAGCTATCATAAAAGCTAGGTCTGGGATCATATAATTCAATTGCCATTCCGCTGGCCATCAAGTGGATGGGAGGAGCCAGCAATAACACATTCTACATACTTTCTCCCTACCCTCCTGTCCTCCCCCCCCCCAATTTGGGTTTTTTATGGCCTTTTCATCACTAGTCAGGACTCACAGTTTGAGAATTGGTGGTCTAGATGTTGATGGATTGCTACTTTTATTAACCCTTCATAGATTGATGTATTTATACTGTTAATTTTTCAAAACTAGGATTTGTCATTTCTGAAATCAAAAAGAGAGGAGGAGAAGGAGGAGGATGATGACAATGATTATGACTCTGAAAGGCCACACTGTTCCTACTCCAGTACAATCAGATAAGACTCTAGTGCATTTAATGAAAATAGAAATTGGTTGAGATATTATTTGTAAACCCCTGCCAAGTACTTACTGGAAACATGAAAGGATTTCACCCTCTTGCCTTCTCCAGTTTTATTACTAGCCACACATCTATACAGAGCAAATACATTTGTAGTGTGAATGACGAGAGTGCTTATGGTCTACAAGAGAAAGAGGCAAAGCAAAGTCAGGCCACACTGGGGCTGCAGGGCTTCTCTGAATCTCACACAATAAGTCAGCTGTAGCTACCCAGGCTATTATAAATTCCAGCCCAACACAACCTACCATTGTTTGAGTATCCTGTTTGCACCTGAAGTTTACATGATCTGCTGCTTACTCATTCTGGCAAACAAAAGTGAAATTGTTTAACTTTCCTAAATCGCATTGCTACAATTGTCAATCGAGATCTGACTTTGGCCAACTGAGATCTTAGCATTTTAAGTAAAATCCAAAATAGAACACTTTCTCTAACATTCTTTTTGGCCAACTTGAAGTGTGTTTATGCAAAAGTGGGTCTCATGGTGTGCTACATGATTTGCATTGTAATAATTTAGCCAGGAATTCAGCCTTCAGTTGCTATCCAAATCTGACTGGACACAAATCCTACTCTGAACAAATTTGTATATATTTTGTTCTTAGTCTTCATAAATGCTTAAATGACATCTGCCATTATGCAAGGTGATATAGTACAATCACTATTCATATGGAGCCAAGTATCCATGGTTTCACCTATCCCCATCTGACAAAATATGTCCTCTCTAGTAATCTTCTAGGTCCTCCAGTTGATTCTAAAGTATATTTCCACCGGAAGCTACCACAGAGTTGTGTCCAGGTTGACTCTATTGTAACTTCCAGTGAAGGTCATTCATTTCAGTAGGCTTTGCTGTTATCCATAGTTTCATATTTCCACTGGCAATTTAAGGAACGTATCCCTCACAGATACAAGGGCTGTACTGATCAGCTAAATAATGTAGAAATCTATATTACTCTGGTTTATCCTTTATAAATACTTACATTTTCCAATTTTACCATTGTAATTCTATTTTTTTCATATTTTGATGATATGGTAAGATATGGTAAGGATTGATTTAGATGCATACAGCTGAGCAGCAGTGTAGAACAAAAGATATTCTCCAAATATTATGATCTGGCCCTATCAGTATTTGCCAAGCATCTCTATTGCACCGGGATTGTGACACAGCTGGCTGAGTGTCAGCTGCATTAAGATCACTTCTGACCAAAAGGTCATGAGTTCGAAGCCAGCCTGGGTCGGAGTGAATGTCCGACCAATTGTGTAGCTTGTTGTCGACCTTTGCAACCCAAAAGACAGTTGCATCTGTCAAGTAGGAAAATTAGGTACCACCTATGTGTGGGGAGGCTAATTTAACTAATTTATGAGGCCATAAAAAAGACTCCAGCAAAGCATGCGGGGAATGTGGAAGTACTTCATCAATGTCGCAGATGGACGATGAAAGCGACAGCTCCCCTGGTGGCCAGAAAAAGTTAAATAGCCTCTGTGTCTGTCTATATATGTTGTATGGCATTGAATGTTTGCCATATATGTGTACATTGTAATGCACCCTGAGTCCCCTGCAGGGTGAGAAGGGTGAAATATAAATACTGTAAATAAATAAATAATAAATAAATAAATTTGAAAACTAACACATTTTAATACTCATTACATGTGTAAGGAAATTATGTTCATTATGCTATTTGTTGCCCTACTTCATTGATTTGTTGTCCCTTTTTGTACACAAAATGATTAGCATTGATCAGATGATAAAACTTGGTAAAGGATGTTTTTAAAGGAAGCATTAAAAACTAAGACATTATTACTTACTAGACCAATTTTCTTACATGTTTCATTGTTTTCAAATATAATTTAGTTTTGCCCACATTATTAAAAACTAGCTGCTGTTCACAAAATTATTTTTAATGCATGACTTCCAAGCTTTGGCCAGAATTGTAAGTTTTCTAAGTCCATCACTAACCTGAATGGCTCTCTGTCTCATGGTTATAATTCTATATGTTAACAGGAAAATATCACACTTATGTCACAATAATTCTACATGTCAACAGGAGAATGTCACACTTATGTAGTAGTTCTGTCCAATTATCTGTAGACACAGTTGTTTCTACAGTGGATACAGTGGATACTTGGCATTCATGGAAGTTTGGCTCAGCAACTCCCAAGGGTACCAAAAGCCCACAGGAATGTCAGGTAAGCCACTAAATTAAATCTGTTTTGATTCCTTCAAAGAACATTGCAAATACAAAAAAACAGATGATAACCTCACCTTCTTTTTTCCAGCAATAATAGCAGACCGAGGTTTTATTATTTCAGTCTGATTCCCATCTCTCCTATCAGTTATAACTTTCAATTTCTTACAGGAATAAGGATTGTTTTCTAGTCCAGCTTGGCTGCAAGAGAAAGACGACTGAAATATTACAGTTCAGGAGTTTATATCTTTGTATGCCTTAATAAATTATGAAATAGGTATGTGAACAAAAGAGATAGAAGTCCAGGACCACACACACAGCCCAGTGCCCACTCTAGCCCCACTATTTCACTTTTTTAACTGGCAGCAATGGGGGGTGAGGGGGATTTCCTTCCCATCATTTTTGGCAATTGCATGGTTTGTCCTTGTATCTTTCATTATGACCTGAATTAAATGCATTAGAGTTACTTAAGATACCACTATTTGTGTTATGTTTTCCCCTCCGTCTGCAGAAGAGAACTGAATTTAAAGACAGGGCTTAAGATACCACTATTTCTGAGATGCTTTCCCCTCCATCCATCTGCAGAAGAGAACGGAGTTTAAAGGCGGACTTAAGATAGTACTAATTTCAAGATGTTTCCTCCTTCATCTGCAGAAGAGAACTGAGTTTAAAGACAAGGTGTAAGATAGCACTAATTCTGAGGTGTTTTCCCCTTCATCTGCAGAAGAGAACTGAGTTTAAAGATACCAACAACAACAACAATTTTATTGATTAGCCAGTTGGCCTTATCAAAAAAAGACAGTGCAAACACAACATACAACATACGTCTGATCCTATTAAAATTGAATACAAATATATAGGAATTTATCAACTTAAAACCAATGTAGCTTAGCCATAGATATATGCATCAACTATCCTCGTCTCCCCTACACTGCACCCCAATCTGGTCTATGTACTCTGATCTCCTTTTAGCAGCTTTAAACAAATAAAGGGCAATTTTTGTTGTCAGAATGGGGTTAAAACCAGATTAAAGATACCAGTATTTCTGTAATGTTTTCCCTCCGTCTGCAGAGTGGCAGTGGGTGAGGTGAGGCGAGGCAAGACAGGCAGCAGGCAAGGCGGATGGTGTTCTTATCCTCTTATTAGCCCAACAGGCAGGGCTCAGAGGTAAAATACTAGCACACAGCAATGCTTGGAGGGCTGTGTGAGGAGCGCCATGTGCCCCCAAATAGATTATAACCGTTCGCACTTTCTTTCATTTTCGGGCTTATTTTTGTGCCATAGGGAGTTAGTGTTTCGTGCCCCCAAATGAAACAAAAGGAACAAAACAAATGAAATGGAAGAAACAAATACTGCACACAGGAATACATTAAAAGAACAGTTTATTAAACTGCAAAAACTTTGTTTTTGTGGGACATTCTGCTATAGTTTTTCAATTAATATCTCACAGACTATCAACCACTTCAGCCTCACAGAGTATGAACCACTTCAACATAGTTTGTGGCAGCCACAAAATAAGTACCACAAAAAATTAATAGGAATTAACATTTTCAAACCAGGAACATTTTTTTTCAGATTTTGTTACATAGTGTATTGCAACCTCATCATAAAGCACAGACACAGTGTCCCACTTCACTGAGTTTCTGCGAGGAAAGAGGGCACAATGGGGTGAATCTATCACTCTATGCGCAACTCCCTCTCCATGATGCTTTCCTCATCTCATATGTGGAGATCCCATGCTGGCTCCATTTGGAGCATTGGAGTGGAATTGTCCGGTGATGCTTTCAACCCAGCTGGGGGCAGGGCCTATGCCAGTTTTCACACAATGTCCAATATCAGTCTCCGTCCCCTAGATGGGGTGAAAGCATCCTAGGATGCAAAAATTATTCCCATAATAGCTAAGAAGGACTTTGAAATAGTAAAGCCTAACAAGCTATTAAAAATATCATTCCAAGCTCTGTGAAATGATTGTGTACAACACCAGGCCAATAAAAAAAACCACTTTAGTGATTGCCCACAAAACCATGCCACTGAAAAAAAGAAAGAAAGAGTGCTATCAGTTTGGATGAATGAACCTAGGGATGGAAAATATAAAGCTTTGAAGAACAAAACCCAAGGAGGACTTATGTGTTCAGAGAGAAGGCAAGACATTCCACCCACACTTTGAGTCAACTATGATACAGTTAATATGATCACTGATTGGCTGAGACAGAGGGCCCAGACAGGTCTCAATTCCAGGGGGAACTGGGATATTTTATCCCAGTTTCTCCTGGGATCAAGGGCCCCCAGCCATCCCAAACCTTGGGCTTGTCCTGGGAGGATGCCTATATGCCCTCCTGGGTCAACCAGAGGTTGAGTTTGCAGCCAGGCCCCTCCAGTAAGTTTTGGTGCTAAATGGGGGGCTCCGAGGGAAGTGGCTGTGTCCCATCCCACTCCTTCAAGCTCTTTGAGCCCAAAGAACCAGGATCACAGTGGGGAAATTTTCACGTGGCCAAGGAAGCTGATGGATCCTACTAGACTTTTGAGTGTCCTTAAAGAACTGGATTACACTGCCGATTCTCTATGTGAACAAGTGGAAAACTGGAGCAAAAATCTATCAACTGCCTTAGACATAGTTGCCCCTAAACGGGCTCTGCGCCCTCGCCATGGTTCACGGATACATTACGTCAGATGAAACTTGAGTGGAAGAGATTAGAACGTAATTGGCACAAGAAACCCGATGAAACGTCGAAGTCAGCTTTCGAAATATATCAAAAAAATCTACGAAGCAGCCACCATAGAGGCCAAAAAAGAATACAATTCCTCATTGATAGCTTCCGCCAGATCTCGACCTGCTCAAATATTTAAAATTGTTCATAACATCACAAATCCAACCCATCTGGCCAAAGATGTGGCTAGTCAAGATATTACAGCAGAGACTTTCCAGAGCCACTTCATAAATACCTCCCACAGAGGACACATTGAGGGAACTAGAAGCCTCCTGGCCATCTAGTGGCCAATTTCTTGAACATTTTGTGTCATTAGAAATGGAAGACCTGGAAAAGACTCTAGCTGCAGCAAGACCAACTACTTGCTCCCTTGATCCTTGCCCCTCCCGGTTGGTTAAGGAGTGCTGGGAGGGACTACAAAATCCCTTAAGGAGCATCATCAACAGCTCCTTGGAGCAAGGAATTTTTTCAGATTGTCTTAAAGAAGCAGTGGTCCACCCTCTCCTGAAAAAACCAAGCCTTGATGCTGCCATACCTAGTAACTATCGCCCAGTTTCAAACCTTCCGTTCTTGGGCAAGGTGATTGAACGGACAGTGGCGGGGCAGCTACAGCAATTCTTAGATGAGACTGCGGGTTTGGACCCCTTTCAATCAGGCTTTCGTTCAGGTCATGGGACAGAGACTGTCTTGGTAGCTATTACTGATTAAATTCGTCGTCAGTTAGATCGAGGCGGATCAGCGCTATTGGTACTCTTGGACCTCACAGCTGCATTCGACACTGTGGACCATGACTTGCTGATTCATCGATTGGCTATGTCTGGTGTACGAGGTTTAGCCCTGAAATGGTTCAATTCATTCCTCCAGGACCGGAGACAGAGGGTGGAGTGGTCAGGCCAAAGCTCTGAGAGCTCCTGCCTTTGCTGTGGAGTTCCCCCGGGTGCTATCTTCTCGCCCCTGTTATTTAACATCTACGTCTGACCAATTGCTGGACTGGTGCGGAGCTTTGGCATAGAGTGCTACCAGTATGCAGATGATACCCAGCTACTCTTGCATCTCGAACCTGGGACAACCGCGATTCCTGAGAATTTTAAGCTGTGTTTGGAAGCAGTGATGAGTTGGCTGCGAGCGAGCAGACTAAAAGTGAATCCTGCAAAAACTGAGATACTCTGGCCCGGCCAGCCGCCAGAATTAACCCAGTCTCTGCCTGATTTCGATGGGGAAGCTCTGGTTCCGTCTGCCACTGTTAAAAGCCTTGGGGTTGTGTTGGATTCATCACTGACGATGGAGGCCCAGATCACTGCCATAAGTAAGCAGGCCTTTTTTCATCTTCGCCAGGCAAGGAAATTGGCATCCTACCTTTCGGTAGAAGCATTGGCAACGGTAATCCACGCAACAGTCACCACTAGGTTGGACTATTGCAATGCCTTATATGCCGGCCTTCCAAAGTCAACAACCCAGAAGATTCGGATGGTCCAAAATGCAGCACCCAGGCTGCTAGCGGGATCATCTATAAGATCCCATATCACAACGATTCTGCAACAACTGCATTGGCTACCAATAGAACATTGGATCTCTTACAAGATACTGATCCTGACATTTAGAGCTCAAAATGGCCAAGGACCTTTATATCTTAGGGACCGCCTCATTCCTTTTCCCATCAGTGGTCACCTCGATCCACCCAGGAAAATCTCCTATACATACCGGGCCCTAGGGAGGTACACCTGGAAGCTACAAGGCGTAGAGCTTTTTCGACCTATGCTCCAATTCTGTGGAACTCATTGCCTCCATACATTAGAGCAATGTCGGAGTTGCGACCTTTTGTAAAGGCACTCAAGACTTGGCTGTTTGGTTGTGCATTTAAGTAATCAGATCTAATTTGCCAAATAGTCACTGTTGAATGTTTTAATGTTGAATGATTTAATGTTGAATGTTTTAATGTTGAATGTTTTTATACTGAATGTTTTTATATTGCGTAAATGCTATTTTAAATTGTAAGTCGCTCGGAGCACCTTGGTGGAGAGCGACTAATTAAGAAATAAAGTGATGATGATGATGATGATGATGAACCTCTGGGAATCGCTAAAGCTGTCCTGGGAGTGAATTCCCACAGGGCCCACTTCAGGAAAGATTCAGACCTTATATTAAGGTCCTGATATTTCCATGTGTTTAATTAATCCAGAATAAACTGGGAAATCCCAGTTTATTATGGATTAATTCAGATTTTTCTGAGGCGTAATTTAGATGCCTCAGATAAACCTATGACAGGTCCCGCATTTTGGGCCTATCTGCATGGGCCTGGAGTGATACTTAATTTCTTTCATTCCTTTTTTTGTGCCAGTGGTGACAATATTGATGTGGTCCCCTCCATTAAAAACAAATATATAGCACAACCTACAGAATCCTATGATGTTTAAACTAGGAGTATTATTGGTTAAACTGTGATTCATGCAGAAAAATCCGGCTCTGCTGGAAACAAAGTGTCATCTAAAGGGTTTTATGGGAGGGGTGGGTTGTCTAGACAAGGCCTGCCCTTTGTTTTTAACTCTCTGTAGATATTTTTACTCTTGGTGCTCAAGCTTTTAACTTGCTTCTTAGCTGGAAATGCATCACTCTGGCTTTAAAGAACTCAGGCTCCATTTATACTGCCATATAATCCAGTTTGAACAGCATTCTGGTTTACAAAAGAGGAGGGAAAGTACTCTATGGCTCCCTCTTACATCTTAAATTAACCTACTAGTAGTATTAGTACCCTGGTTTTCTCCTTGGAGTAGAATCCAAAGTGATTCCCAGTTTGCTCCCAAAAGAAGTTCAAGGAAATTTTGAGCAGATCACCCAAGACAAAGAAGAATGACAACTAGTGAGATAAAATTATGCATATTATAATTTGTCATATAGTGTGTATATGGAAAGGTGCCTTCAGGTGATCTTAGGGGCAGTTATAGGATGTAGAATAGGGGATGTGTCCACTTCTTTGAATTATTGGGCTCAAACAAGAAAAATATTGAAATAGTGATGCTCAAAAAAGAGAATCAGAGACACATCCAGAACAATGGGTAAATCATATTGTACTTACTGAGGGTTGAAAGTACATTCTTCTTCCAACTGCCAGCACCACTGAATCTTGACTGATGCTGGAACAGCATTGACTGCACATGTTAACATAGAAAAGAACAGTTTTATGTGTCATTGTGTTATTGCACAACAAAATTGCATGCCTTCCCCCACAAACACCACAAAGCAAAACACACATCCTTCCACACGCCCATCACTACCACAAAACCCTCACTGCCACATCAGTGTGAAACCATGGAGTTCAATATAGCCTCTGCTCTAGGATAAAAGCTATAAACTGATGTTTATCTAGTGCATGTGGAAGGCAAGAAATGATATGCCTGCAGACCAGTTTTAAAACAGTCTCTAATAGCTTTTCTCATCCCAGTCCAATTTGTATCAGAACTTGTCAACTGTAGAACCTCCTTGCTTCACAAGACATGTTCAAAAGAAGCAGGAACACACAAAAAACATAGGAACACACACAAGACAAGGGGAGAAGCACCCAGCTGCAGTAGCCACCTGTGCAGCCATCTTGAGTGGAGCCATATTTAAGTGGAGCCATATTTATAAGAATCCACAGGAACTAAAAGAACAGTCTCACCAATCTGAGGAGCAACTACAGGTGAGAAAAAGAGATGAAGATAGGCTTGTGTCCTAAGGGCTCCACAGAGCAGTTTAAGAACTGTTGCATTAGACAGTAATTGCCAAGGAAGGTAATTCATGTGTGATTTTTTTCCATTGGTGAGTACAAGGCTGTAAAGAACTTGCTGAAGAAACCGTTGCCCACAAAATATCATACTGCAAGACTGTCCCCAGGCCATGTTTTCTCCATTCCTCCATGAAATGAACATTAGGCTGATATCCTACATTTCCTATGAAATTACCTTCACCCTTCCATACCACCAAAGAGACATTGTTGTCCCCCAAACAAGCCATTTTTGTATTAGCGGGATACCATAATTTCTCCAGCAGCCAAATGAAGGAGAATTGTGAAGTGAGAAGTTAGACAGTAGGGGTGTTCAAAACTTCAAATATCATTTCAGATTTTGGGTAATTTCGGCGACTTAGAGATAAGAACTACCAAAATATGAACCGATGAAGGACCCCTCCAAAGCATTAACAAAACAAAACAAAATACAAACCACCACATCTTTCAGATAAATTCAAAAAAGATTTGTTGATTCAGACTTTTTTCAAAGTAACATGATTATTGTGAGAGCAACATTGCATTCAGGTGAAGAGCTCTCAATTTTATGGACCTGGAATTCATGTATTCAAGTTTCCATTATGTTCCTGAGTCTGGGTCTTGTGGGGCATAGTTTTGACTGCCTTGGATTTATGTACCTGGTATTTGAATAACTTGGTGGAATCTAGAGACTTTCCTTGTATGAATTTTTGGACTCTTGGCTTTTATGGAAATCACCTTTTGAACTTTGACTCTCTTTTAAAATATATTTGCTTGCTTTTCATATATTCAGCTTTTATTATACTCTGCTTTTAATAAATTCTTACATTGTAGCACCTGGACAGTGTGTAGTTTGTGGTGAGAAGGTATTTCAGGGCTCTAGTGCAACAATGATAATATTACTCTGCTGCTCCAGGGGTGGGGACTGGCTGCTGGCATGATGACAAGAGCAGCTACATGCAGGGTTTTTCCCTCGTTAGCCAATCAGAAGAAGAAAGCGGATCACATGGCTTTTGCAAAGCTGGTCTAAATACTCCTGTACACGGCTTTTTGTAAAGCTGGTCTAAATATATCTGCACAGAGGTCCTCCATTTTCTGTGGCGTGGCATTGGAGGAGGGAGAGAGAGCATGTCCTTAATAGCTCCGTTTGGTTTCTTAGTACCAGTGTGCCTATCTAACTTTTTGGGAATTCTTTTTCTTTTGACATCTATCTTCCTTACCATTACCACGTATATTTTCCAAATTCCACTAGGAAAGTGTGGCTGGGCATGTGTGTGTGTGTGGGAGGGATGAGTTTAAAAGGGCATTTTGCTTGTTTTTATTTTAATTTAATCTGCTAAGCATTACTAGGATTTCAAATTGAAAGGGATACCTCTTTTGTTTGTTTTTTAAAAAACACATTTTATTTGTAGAAACTTTAAACATTTCCTAAATCTCAGTGGATGAGCAAAATGTTCTGAAACTTGGCAGGCTTACAGTTGTTAATGTGGCCTCCAAGTGTGGCAAGTTTTACCCTGATAGCTGAATAAATGACAGAAAGACAAGCCTCACAAATGTCTTCATTAGCAGTAATAGACTGAATCTTATAGAAATGAAAACAAAACTCTGGTTTTCGAATTACAATCTGAACCCTACCCCCCCCCCCCCCGAATCACCCCAAAATGAAGCCGGGGGGGGGGGGGGGGGTCCAAAATTTGAAACAAAACTAAAACAAATTTCTGGTGTTTCACACACCGCTACTAGACAGGACAGTACAGGAAGGGCAGGAAGGATGGATGAGGTATACAAGGAAGGCAGAGTAGGATTTGGTAAAAGAGCACTCTGAAGACAGGAAAAGAGCAGGACACAAACACACATTCTGGGTAAACTGAAAACCATTATTATTATTATTATTATTATTATTATTATTATCATCATCATTATTACAACCAGAATTTTACTCTGATTAAAGCCAGGTTTTCGGAGAAGGATTTTACCATTCACAAACAGATGAAATGTATTTTTTTCCTGCTCCTTGTTTATGGGATTGGTCAGCACAACAGTATAAATCCCAGCTTCTTTTTCATTTGTTTCAGTAATTGTCACGGAGTAACCGAATTTAACAATACGATTTGCAGCAATGGGGTTTCCATTTTTATACCTGCAGAAAAAACAACTGGTCCTGTGTTAATGTTGAATGATAATGTATTTACACAACATAGATATTAGCATTCTATCTGTACCTAAGCTGAAGAGCCCAGAGTGAAAATGGGATGCACATTTATTATGCTTATTACTTTAAAAACTTCCATATTTACAATATGTCAGTCACTGCAATATTGACTGATGCTGAATTTACATTGCCCTATATCCCAGGATCTTGTTGGCATGGGTTGGCCTCTTTCCAAAGGCACAATGGCCCCGCCAGACTCCCCAAATTATTGTCTCCTACAATACAGCTCTCACACAGAATGTTGCAAGGCATGGCAAATTAGCCAGCCCGATTCCAGCATGGTTCTTATCAGCAAGCTCCTAGACCTTATTTCTCTTTAGTTAATTAGAGTCCGGAACTCTGTGCTTTCATTCAAAGAAACCTTAAAGGTGTTTTATTCTTAGTCCATTTCGTATTTACAGGTTATTTACAATGCACCAGATATTCAAAATAGCCAAGGATGTTACAGTTGAGAGAGAAGCAATGAGTGAGAGAATTAGCACATGGCTCTCTTCCTTATATAGTCTCAACACTGTCCTACCCATCATGCCCAGGGACAAAGGGTGTGATGTGAAAAACTTGTCACCCTGTCACATGGACGTGATACAGCATTACACAGCTTCCTGACCAGCCCCACTTACTTTTAACCTTAAGTAACTTTTATTTAAAATGTTTTAAATAAAATAAATTATCTTGTGAACATAAGGAAACAATAGCAAAGTAAAGGACTAAAATCACTTTAAAAAAGAAAACCTTTTCTTATTCTTACCTTTTTGCATCTGGTGTTGGATAAGCTCTGAACAGCACAGGAATTTTAGCTGGTTCACCCACTTTTGTGTCCACCAAGGATGGCACTCTTCCCAAATAAATGAAAGATTTTTCTGTTCAGATTTTAATGGAAACAAACATTTCAAAGTATTTAATTTTCTTTTGCTGTTTCCAGAAATGCATGCTTTTAGATATCGTATCCCAAAACAATAGTGACTAGACTACTGAACTGAAATATTGTGTTGTTTTTTTTTTAAAAAAAGATTGAGGTGAACTATCAGAAATTTCATCCCAGCGTTTAACTAAGATCACATTTATTAGCACTTACAAATGGGTGATATGTTGACAATATATCATATAGTGCTTCGCTGTGGGTGCATCTACACTGTTGAATGAATGCAGTTTGACACCACTTTGTCTGAAATGGTTCAATGCTATGGAATCATGCAAGTTGTAATTTTACAAGATGTTTAGTAGTGGTGTGCAATTTTTTTCATTAGTTGTCATAAGTCGTATCAAATTTGTTAAATTCATACTTACAATGCAATATCTGACATGTGGGCATGGCCCGCACCAAAAACTTAAGAATTAAAACTTACCCAATACTTTTTTGTTTGAATTTTTTAAATCTCAGAAACCTCCCAAAGTCAGTTTCACTTTCAAAAAGACTTTGCTTTGCTTCCTTGCACTTGAGGGTTTTTTTTTTTTGGGGGGGGGGAATCCCTCATCCTGGCTCCCAATCTCCTGATGCATCATTTAGATATGCCAGGAGCTTTCCAAGGAGGGGCCAGAGCATGCAGTCAGCCCCTCGGGTAAGTTTAGGGGCTAAAATAGGGGTTGGGGGCTGGCTCCATGCCTTCCCAAGTCAACATCTTGTTGAACTGGGCGAGAATGTAGCCACTCCCCCCAGGGAAAGCCCGGGCTTGGGACTAGGGGTGGGGAAAAATCCTTGGAGGATCTGGGATATATCCTAGTTCCTCCCAGGATTTAGTCATGTGCAGAAGAGCTCTTAGTTTTGGTTTTAATTTAAAAAACTTCCATTTTTTCAGATCAAACAAGCCTAATGTGTATGTACAGATATTCCATAACACTTCTGGTCTTAAGAATTCCAGATAAGAAAAACTCAAATGGTAAACTACCTGAGCTTCAATTTGGCATATTTTAATTTGTACACACCAAATAACCTGTTTTCCAGTATAGAAAAACTGAAGGCAACAAGAAAACCATCTAGAACCAGAATGAGCTGACAATGTGACTCTACCTGGGATTACTTGGGCTGGATCTACACTGCCATATAATCCAGTTCAATGCAGACAATCTGGATTTTATATGGCAGTGCAGATGGGGCCTTCAAGGAAGAGATGTCATCTGATACAATAAGAGAATAGGCTTGGTCTGTGGTTCTGCTTTCAAAACTCTCTGTAATTATGCTTTAAGAGCAACAACTCTTGCAATGTATTGTCGAAGGCTTTCATGGCTGGAATCACTAGGTTCTTGTGGGTTTTTTCGGGCTATATGGCCATGTTCTAGAGGCATTTTCTCCTGACGTTTCGCCTGCATCTATGGCAAGCATCCTCAGAGGTAGTGAGGTCTGTTGGAAATAGGAAAATGGGTTTATATATCTGTGGAATGACTGGGGTGGGGCCAAGAGCTCTTCTCTGCAGAAGAACCTATTCACACCTAGCTTCAGCAGAGAAGAGCTCCTTGCCCTTTGCCCCACCCCAGTCATTCCACAGATATATAAACCCATTTTCCTAATTCCAACAGACCTCACTACCTCTGAGGATGCTTGCCATAGATGCAGGCGAAACGTCAGGAGAAATGCCTCTAGAACATGGCCATATAGCCCGAAAAAAACCCACAAGAACCTAACTCTTGCAATGTTTGATTTCTTTTATTGGGAGGGGGTTATAACTCCTTGAATTTTCCTGTCAGGATGACTATTAGTTTATGGAGGATTGTAGGAGTTGAAGCCTATAAAGAGAAACTTCTCCATGCCCCGCAAACCTGTATGTTGGAATATTAGTCTCTACGCATGAAAGGTTGTTCAGAGCCCTGCTGCTTCCTGTCACCCACCACCCCACTTTTTTGCCTGTGTTTTTCTGTTTGTCCTAGCTACCTCTCTCTTCAAGTCCAGCCAAGAGCAAAACTGCTGGAGGATGTGGCTTCAGAAAATATTTATATAATGATATTCACAAATAAAACAGAGTCCTTGGAATATCCACACAAAAGCTTATAAACACAAAGTCTTTATCTTCACAGTCTTGTTCTTCAGACGTTGCAGCAAATAATACAACTCCAGCAATTCCAAACCTCTTTCCAGCTTCTTCCCAGTCTCTTTTCAGCCTCCAGCCAACCTCTCTCCAACCTTCAACATCCAACATGTACTCCAACCTCAAACATCCAACCAACATCAAACCTACATCAAGTAATACAATGTGCTTAGTCTCTATTAGTAGTACCCAAGCTTCCACAGGTGGCTTGATTGTTGCTGGCCATACAATGATTGGACATGATTCTTACAATCATTTACTCATTTTTCACTTAAGAAATGACATAAACAATATAAAACTCTGACACCCCTTTCCTTTCTTAAGTGAAAAACCCAAAACAATACATAACAATCATACAACAAATGATATTACATTTACATAATTTTACATACAGGCATTTATGATACAATTATCTAGTCAAAATCTTTTTCTGTTACTTTTACCTCACTCAAACCATTTTTCTTATGTATTAACAATTTGTACCATGAACCTGTCTGGGGGTACCCCCCATATTTTTTCTTTTTGACCTCCTGGGAATTTCAATCAATTCTACCTTTTTATTTTCTTCATCACTGCTACATTGATGTTCCCTTTTTACCCCAGTTATGAATCTAGTTGCTTCATCTGTTTCATTGCTGATGCTAGATACTTCGTCTGCCTGCTCACTCTGACTGGTTATTGGTACTTCAAAAATCTCAGTTTGTTCCTGATCTTGTGCTATTTCTGGCATATTGGATTCAAAGACTGATCTTACTTCTCTTTCAATATTAACGTCTTCTTGGTTATTTTCTTCTTGCATGTTACCTACTGGCAACCATACTTTAGTACCTTTCTCTATTTCCTTTGGAGCTGTCCTGTAATGATCAATAAACACTTCATTATTTTGGTGAATATGCTCCCAAGTGTTTTTCAAAGTTAGCATTTCTAGATATTACCACTTTATTGAAACCTGCATAAAATCTATACCCTTTGGTTTTCTCTTCATACCCAATAAACCTTAATCTCTGCCACTTTCTTTGCTCCTTTCTTAGCAACTGACTAGGAATTAGGACATTAGCATAACTTCCAAAAATTCTCAAACATTTTAGGTATGGCTTTCTTTTGTATAACATAAAAATGGTGTCTCATTTATACACGAACTCCATGTTCTATTTATTACATGTGTGGCAGTTAAAATGGCTTCGGCCCACAATTTTCTTGGCACTTTAGCATCGTCTAACATGCTATTCATTATTACTTTTAGTACTCCTATCTTTCTCTCTGCTACTCCATTTTCAGCAGGAGAATAAGGATTAGTTTTCTGATGAGAAATACCTTTTTCTTTTAACCATTGTTGAAACTGATTACTCATAAATTTACCTCCTCTGTTTGTTCTCATACATCCTAACCTAAAAGAAAATTTTCTTTCTATCATTGCAAGCCACTATTTAAACTTAACAAAAACTTGGTGCTTTGATTTCAACAATACACAATAACAAACTCTCGTGAAATCATCTACAATTACAAAAATGTACTTTGTACCTCCCCTCACTCGGAGTAAAGGGTCCTGCCAGATCCAAATGTATAAGTTCAAAAGGTCTTTTAGTAGTTTTAAAATTCTTTTTAGCTATAGGATGTTTTTTCAACTTAGATCTTGAACAAACTGCACAATCCAAAAACTTGTTACACTGTTTTAAACTTAAATCTCACTAAACATTTGGTTCCAGAAGAAAATGCAGGAATTTTTCAAGATGATGAGCTTGAAAAGCCTATGGACATTGCTTATACACCTGGCACATTGACCAAAAGGCAACAAGAACTTAAGGAAAAAAATTGACCCATGCTGCATCGAAAAAAAAAGGGCAAAGATTGCCAACATTAAAGACAGTCCCAAGAAAACATCTGACACCCCTAATGAATGATATGAATGCTGCACTTGCAACTGTTCAGATAACAATGGAATAAACTAACCAGCTTGTATACAGTACAGTAGTGATTGTAACACAAGAACTGGGGACAGGACAACCGAAACCCACAAGAAAAATGATTGAAAAAACAAAATGAAAAATTAGTTTGGAGTTAAAAATCAAGAGCCTATGATCAGATGCAAGCAATCTGAAGAACATGAAGAAAAAAAATTAAGAATGTCAAAATAAGGAATTATCTAATTAAAAAAAATATTGACTAAACACAAGAAAAAAATTGCAGAAGCACTTGAAACTGTGAAACAACAAACCATGGCAATAGTCAGAAAAACTGAGTGACATGCAACTAGAGTCATCCAGTACAAACAAAATCAACTCTTCCAATTTGATCAAAGGCGGTTCTGTGGGGGAAAAAACAGCTACAAATGCATTCTGGAAAGATCTGTGAGAAACAGAAAAAGGGTATAACAAAAAGGCTGAGTGGATAAAAGCTTTTGAAAATAAGTTTTCAGAGAACAAAAAGAGAACATTGGAAATAACAACAGAAATGATCAATAAAAGAGTAAAGAAAGTCAAGAACTGGACATCACCTGGCAATGATCAATTTCATGGATTTTGGCTTAGATATTAGCCTGCACTCAAAAATGGCCAAACAATTCAATGAAATGCTGGAAAATGGAAACATCAGCAAATGGATCACATCTGGGAAGACATACTTGATACAGAAAGATCCAGCAAAAGAGATAATACCAGAAAACTGCAGGGCAATAGCATGTCTGCCTACAATGTTCAAACTGCTGACAAGCATAATAGCTGATCAAATCCAGGATCACTGGGAGGCAAATAACATCTTGCCAGTGGAATAAAAAGGTAATAAAAAAGAAGTAGAAGCATGAAAGATCAGTTTCTGATAGACAATATGATACTAGAGAATTACAAAAGGTGCAAAACAAACCTCTATACAACTTGGATTGATTACAAAAAAGCATTTGACTCACTGCCACATGGTTGGATCATCAAATATCTGGATTGAGGTTTGTGAAAATATTAGCAAGTTCACTGAAAATGTAATGAAACAACGGAAAACTGAGTTGTTTGTGGGCAATGAAAGCTATGGAACTGTTAACACCAAGAGAGGAATTTTCCAGGGAGACTCACTGTCACCACTGTTGTTCATCATTGTAATGATCCCAGTCAGTAATTCTACTGAAAACAAACCTGGGCTACCAAATGGCAATTCTCTTTTTGAGCCTCCATCACTTAGATTACAAGTAGCCATTTTTGAAAGTCTGCTTCCAGAGCCATGTTTTCAGTGGCTTCCTAAAGGCCGTTAACATGGGAAGCTATACTAATCTCCTTGGGGAGGGCATTCCAGAGCCGAGGGGCTGCCACCGAGGAGGTCCTTTCCCTTGTCCCCACTAGCCGCACTTGTGACGGAGGTGGGACAGTGAGAAGGGCTCCCCAGCAGACTTCAGGACCCGGGCAGGTTTATAGGGGGAGATGTGGTCACACAAATAGGCTGAATCTGAATGGTGTAGAGCTTTATAGATGGTAACCTGCACTTTGAATTGGGCCCGGAAACACAAAGGCAGCCAGTGGAGTTGTTTTAATGGGGACGGGGTGGTGGTATGCTCCCTGTAAGCTACCTGGCCGCTGCTCTTTGTACTAGTTGTACTCTTTGTACTAGTTGTAATTTTTGAGCCGTCTTCAGAGACTGTCCCATGTAGACTGCATTGCAGTAATCCATCTGAGATGTAACCAAGGCATGGACCACCATGGCTAGTTCTGGTTTTTTGAAGTATGGGTGCTCAAGCTTTAATTGTGCAAAGACCCCCCCCAGCCACCACCAACTCCTGAGCTTCAAGGGTCAGAGCTGAATCCAGGAAGACCCCAAGCTGTGGACCTGTGTCCTCAGGGGAGTGTTACCTCATCCAGCACAAGTTGCCACCCTATACCCTGATCAGCCTCCTGAGTGACCTGTTAGCCCTTATTTATTTATTTATTATTTATTTATTACTGTGCTTATATACCGCCGTTTCTCAGCCTAAATCAGCGACTCAACGCGGTTTACAACACAACGACAAGCAGCAATATTCCATTAAAAAGCATAAAAACACATACACAATACACAATATTATTGGGCCTTATCCAGCCCATTACATTTGCCATTCATCAGTTCAGGATCCAGGCAGCTTCCTTGACTTTAGGTGGAAATAGAGTTGCATGTTACCTGTATACAGATGGCACCGAACTCCAAAACTCCAAATGACCTCTCAGTGGTTTCATGTAGATGTTAAATAGCATGGTGAATAAAATCAAGCCTTGCAAGTCTCCACAAGCCAATGGCCAGGGGTCCGAGCAGGCATCCCCAGCACCTCCTTCTGGGTCCAGCCCTCCAAGAACAAGTGGAGCAATTGTAAAACAGAGCCCTCCAAGTCCCATCCCAGAGAGTCAACCCAGAAAGATACCATGGTCGATGGTGTTGAAAGCCGCTGAGAGTCCAGAAGAACCAACACTCCCCCTGCCTAGTTCTCTGCGGAGGTCATCCTCCTTTACCTTGCACATAGACATAAAGGCAACCAAAGCTGTGTCTGTTCCATAGCCAGGCCTAAACCCAGACTGTGATGCATCTAGGTAATCTGTTTCATCCAATAAGTAGATAGGATGACTTCTTGAAAGAATATGAAACTGACTAGTGGCTCATGTGGATTAAAACAAAATGTTTTAAAGCAGACATGCCTTTCAAATCTTGTTGGACTCCATCTTACACCAGTCCTAACCCTAAATAGCCAATGGGTCAGCATTATGTGGGTTCCAATCCAACATTTTTAAGGGTTGTTGTAGGTTCTTCAGGCTGTATGGCCATGTTTCACAAGCATTCTCTCCTGATGTTTTGCCTATATCTATGGCAGGCATCCTCAGAGGTTGTGAGGTCTGTTGGAAACTAGGAAAATTGGGTTTATATATCT